GACCATCGAACGCACAGCGCGCATGCGTCTTGTCGATCTCGCTGGCTCCGAACGTGCCAAGTCGACCGAAGCTACAGGAGCTCGCTTGAAGGAGGGAGGGCAGATCAACAAGTCTCTCACCACACTTGGTCGCGTCATTGCTGCACTGGCCGACCCAAGACGACACGGTGCCAAAGGACGACGGCCACGAGAGGTTGTGCCGTACCGTGATTCCGTCTTGACCTGGCTGTTGAAAGACTCGTTGGGTGGTAACAGCAAGACAGCCATGGTTGCTTGCATTGCGCCAGCCGACTACGATGAGACTCTTTCCACCCTACGCTACGCCGACCAGGCCAAGCGCATCCGCACACGTGCCTTGGTCAACCAGGACTGCATGTCGGCTGCCCAGCGAGACGCCCAGATTGCAGAGATGTCAGAACAGATCCGCAGTCTACAAGTCTGTGTCAACGCCGCCAGCCAGCGCAAGAGGGAGGAAGCCACCGAGCTAGACGAGTACCAGAGGCAGGTCGCACTCATGCAGCGCCTCATGGAGGAGAACCGTCAAGTGTCTGCTGCGAAGATCAAGGCGCTCACTTCCGAAGTCGAAGAGCTGCGTCCCACAAACGTAGCTTTGCGCGCAGAGATCGACTCGTTGCGCCGCCATCTCCAGCTCGCTCTAGGAGAGCTCAAGAACCCCATCGTCCTGCCACCGCCCCGGGAGCTTGGTACGCCAGACTTCGAGAATGAGTCATGGCTAGGCGAAGGCGAGGGTAAAGATGGATCGATCCCTGCTCCTGATGGTGAGGCCAGCGATGATGACTCTGATTCAGGCTATGATGAGGGTGACCACGATGAGTTGGCGCAGGAGTTGCACAATGAGGCAGAGGCCTTCCTCCAGGACCTGGGCATGTTCCGCAAGAAAGTCGGCAGCGATGTCGATCGCTTCGGTATCCGCGAGACACTGGCTGAGCTCATCGGAGGTCATTGAGCAGATGTGTTCTGATGTTGATTATGCGACTTGGTTGGGAGGAAATCGGACTTCTAGGCGCACAGATTGGTTACGAATGCATGAGCGACGGCGTTTTCTTCAAGTTGGATTTGGCAGTACCCAAGATTAGTATACCAGTATATAGTTAGCAAAAAATGAAAGATATCCCACGAGTCTCGATGAGTTCTGCGGAGAGTTGACGTGAGCCGAACATTACATTACAACAGACGCGGAAGTACACATTGCCATATCATGCTTAAAGTCATACAAGTAAGAAACGAAGCGCATGTTCGCTAGATTTGGTTTTTGGGCGCCCTACCCAAAGGCAACCTTCGCAGGCGCGACAGCCTCGGCGGCAGAGCTATGACCTCAACTCGAAGCTCCATGCAGGCACCCCAAGCCTCCGACAAGTTCGCGCGATGATAGCCCGATAGTCGCGCCCAACCATGTCCAAGCCAACAGCCAACTGGGAAAAGGTCGGCGACAAGTTCTACAGGAAGGTGCAGCTCTACCAGGCTGTCTTCGACGCGGATCTCGAGCTCGAGAACTACAATGTGGTGGGGGCGCCGTATAGCGGTGCTGTAGGTAGGTACGTCCCACCGTCTGCCGACGACTGCGCGAACATGTGACCAGGCGACTGACTTCTGTAGCCGTCTACCGCGATGAAGAGAAGCTGCATACCTACCGTGGTCCCGGCGCGTCCAAATCGAGCATCGACATCTACAGCTGCGCGGGCAAGCTGATTCGTAGCATCAACGTATGCAACCCTCTACATGTGCCGGGAGATGAAGGACGGACTACTGACAGGCGATAGTGGGACAAGGGCACAATCAAGGGCCTGGGATGGTCGGAAGACGAAAAGCTGCTGGTCGTCACCTCGGACGGAACGGTGCGCTGCTACTACGACCTCCAAGGCGACTTCGTGCCCTTCACCCTCGGCCACGGCGCAGACGAATACGGCGTACTCTCATGCAAATTCTACAACACGGGATTTGTAGCGCTCCTCGGGAACAACCACCTCATCTCAGTCACCTCGTACGCCGAACCGCGCCCCAAACTCCTCGCTATACCGCCGACTGAACCCGTCATATCATGGAGCATCATACCACCTGCCTACTCGCTATCGCGATCGGTGGAAGTCATACTAGCGATTGGGTCTACGCTGTATGTCGTCGATGCGACTGAGGCAGAAGATCGCAACTTCGATGCCGGACCGTTCAGGCACATCAGCGTCAGTCCGCGCGCGGAGTTCCTAGCCTTCTACACAGAGGATGGAAAGGTGTGGGTTGTCAGCGGCGACTGGAATGACAAGCTCAGCGAGTACGACAGCAAGATCAAGACAGTGCCGAAAGACATGGAATGGTGCGGCTCGAACGCCGTCGCGTTAGCCTGGGAAGACGAAGTACACCTGATCGGCCCTCGAAGTGCCGCGACTAAGTTCTACTACGACACCTGGGTGCATCTCTTGCCGGACGTCGATGGCATACGGCTCCTCACGAACGACGTCTGCGAATTCATACAAAAGGTGCCGGATGAGGCGGTGGATGTCTTCAGGCTGGGCTCCGACTCGCCTGCTGCAAACTTATTGGAAGCGTCCTCGCTCCTAGAACAGAAGAGCCCAAAGGCCGACGACCTCATACAGCTGATACGACCGAGTCTGGGAGAGGCGGTGGACACATGCATCAAGGCCGCTGCGCATGAGTACAACATCCACTGGCAAAAGTCGCTGCTGAAAGCAGCTTCGTACGGAAAGTCAGTGCTGGACCTGTACTCGTCTGACGATTTTGTCGACACGTGCGACACACTACGAGTTCTGAACGCTGTGCGCTTCTATGAGGTTGGCCTGCCGCTCAGTTACGACCAGTATCGCCGCATGACGCCTGAGAAGCTCGTTGAGCGTCTCACGAACCGCAGCGAATACCTTCTTGCATTGCGCATAGCCGAGTATCTGCATCTGCCAGCAAACCAGATTCACGGACACTGGGCGCAACAGAAGGTGCGCGTCTCGACGGACCCAGAAGAGGAGATTTGCAGTCTTATAGTTAAGAAACTGCATGGCAAGCCTGGTGTCTCATTCGAAGAGATCGCACGGGCGGCCTACGATGAAGGTCGCGTGCGACTGGCGACGGAGCTTCTCAATTACGAACCCAGAGCTGGCAAGCAAGTACCGCTACTACTCAACATGAAGGAAGACAACATTGCGCTCGACAAGGCGATCGAGTCGGGCGATACCGATCTCATCTTCCACGTTCTCCTACACCTACGCAAGAAGCTACCTCTTGCCTCCTTCTTCCGCGTCATCAACAGCCGTCCGGTCGCCACAGCTCTGGTCGAGTCGTCAGCCTGGGACCAAGACCGTGAGCTACTGAAAGATCTCTACTACCAAGACGACAGGAGACTCGACGGCTCGAACCTCTTACTATCCGAAGCAATCGCACAGGAAAGCCATCCAGCCCAGCAAGACAAGTTGAAACTAGCGTCAAAGTACCTCCAAGATTCACGCGACAGCGCGGCCGTCTTCCAGCGCCAAGCTATAGACGATGCTGCCAAACTGCTCCGTCTCCAACACCAGTTCGAAACAGACCTCAACGGACCGAGAGACCCAACACCCGCAGGTGCGCTACCAGGTCAAACATACATCGGTCTCTCAGCAAACGAGACAATCTTTCAACTCATCCGCCAAGGCCACTATAAGCGCGCCCAAAAGGTGCAGTCAGACTTCAAGATCAACGACAAAACATACACATACATCCGCCTCCGCGCCCTCGTCGCAGCGCGGCACTGGAACGAGCTCGAGGAATTTGCAAAGCAAAAGAAGAGCCCGATTGGCTGGGAGCCTTTCTTCAACGAGGTCCTTGGTGCGGGAAACACCAGAGTAGCGAGTGTCTTTATCCCCAAGTGCACAACGCTGACGGTGCCGGAGAGGGTCGACATGTGGATCAAGTGTGGGTTGATGGTCAAGGCGGGTGAAGAGGCGTTTAAAGCCAAGGATAGGGAGCTGTTGCAAGAGATTAGGGATAAGGCCGATGGGAGTACGGCGATGGAATTGGAGAGGTTGTTAGCGATGCTGCCGCAGGGGAAGAGGTAGGCGGTTGGGTTTGTGGGTGGGTTATGTAAACGAATGGCGCAGTGGTGGATATGAATATGGGCTGGTGTATAGTAATCGTTCACGTGTATTAAGTCTGGATTGGTGCTGACATGTCCTGCATAAAGCGCGAAATACTCTTGACTGGCTTCTCTTCTCAGTTTGCGACAGCAAGTGTCACAGGAAATCTGTCTTTATACGGATAGCTTAGAAGGCTACATTAAGCTGAGTATATAAGTAGGTGAGCGTCATGAAACAGGTAGAAGGCTACATTGAGTTGAATGTATAGACAGGTGGATATCATCGATCAGGTAGGAGTATACAATGCCCATGAGCTCTCTAAACTTTCTTCCTGTATCTTGTTGTAGACTGCAGTTTGTCAGAAGCTTTATCAATTCCTGCTCAATCGCCTCATTGTATGCATCAGGATCAATTTCTGAAGGTATGCTATCCTGCTCTCCCCTCATTGTATTCACCAAAATTATCATCTGGAAGCATGCCATCTAGCCTCCTCTTTTCCCAAGTCCAAGCTCCCGTTCCAAGACATCGGGACGTGGAGGCAGGCACACCCGGCAAATCCCCGGGCCGCTACTTCTTCGGGGGAAAACCCACACTAGCGTCAGCCATGTGCAGAAGACCGACCCGCAGTGGCTGCGAAAACGACTCGCTTCCCCGCAATGGCTAGGATGGGTACCGGGGCTAGGTGCAGGCTCCGCGATCTAACGAAGAAATTCGTCGCTCGACGTCGTCATCTCGGTGTGTACTCATCCGAACCGCCTCCAGATCTTCAAATCGGCAAATGAGTGTGGGAATCGAAAACGGGGTCATGGCTTTGGCTATGGTGCCGGAAGGCAGCGGGAGGGGAAGGTACATAAGCCTTGGATCACCAAGAGCTTGAATAGGGTGTAGGATTGGAGATACCCGGATTCGATCGACATATACGCAAACATGAGGTTCTTCAACTCTCTAGTCAGCTTCGCGGCTGTCGTACCTGTCGCGCTCGCATCGATACCTTACTCGCAATACATCCTCGCGCCCAAATCACGAACCCTCCATCCCATCTCCGTACACAGCACTAACGGCTCCGTCACCCACCCCGAGAGCCTTACCAGCGCGAATGGCAGTTCCGTCTTCACCGGCGAAGCAGCAACAGCGTACGACTTCGGCATCAACATCGCGGGGCTCGTCACCGTAACAATCGGCTCTGTTAACTCGTCCTCCGAATACATCGGCGTCACCTTCTCCGAAAGTTCGTTATGGGTCAGCAACCGGAGCAGCGACGCGACGGCCGATGCAGGAAAGGACGAGACGCTCTGGTTCCATGTTAATGGTACTGGGCGGTATACAGCGCCGAAGGAGAAGGTGAGGGGTGGGTTTAGGTACATGACGTTGGTGCATAATGGGACTAGGAGTGTAGAGGTGGCAGGCGCGGAGGTACATTATACTGCTATGCCGCATTGGGAGGGGGATGCGTTGGGGAATTATACGGGATATTTCCATTGCGACGGTATGTCATTCATTATTTGCTTGCTTCTGTCGCTTGGGTAGAAAGACTAACGTGTTGCAGATGAGCTGCTCAATCGCGTATGGTATGCCGGAGCGTACACGAACCAGATCTGTACGATTGAACCAGACACCGGCAATGCGCTTGTTCATCTGCGCGAAGAAGGTTTCTCGAGTGAGGACGACCAGTCGCCGGTTAATGTTACTTGGTATAACAACTATACCATTACCAGTGGCAAGAGTGCGCTGGTTGATGGTGCAAAGAGGGATAGACTTGTTTGGGCTGGCGGTACGTTGATACATCCCCCATCACTGAGTGCAAACTGACAGGCATTGGTAGACATGGCGATAGCAGTCCCCGGTGTCGTGGTATCGACAAACGATGTCATTTCCATTGAGAATGCATTGGACTCGCTCTTCGAGGTACAGAACGCGACGAATGGTCTACTCCCATATGCCGGAAGGCCTTTCCCTCCCCAGGCGATATCGTTCACGTACCACCTATACACTCTGATCGGTGTCGCTGACCACTTCCTCTACACTGTAAGACATCCCGATCAAATCCTTCACACTCGCTGACCACTTCTCCAGGGCGACATGGACTACCTCAAATCTCTATGGGACAAATACAAATTTGCCCTCTCCTTCTCCCTCTCCAACATCGACTCCAGCGGCCTCATGAACGTAACTGCGCCCAACGACTGGCTCCGCTTCGGCATGGGCGGCCACAATATCGAAGCAAACGCCATCCTGTACTACACCATCAATCAGGGCATCTACCTCGCCTCAGCTTTGAACGACACAGCCAACATTTCTTCCTGGCAAGAAACAGCTGATGGTATCAAGACCGCCGCCAATGAACTTCTCTGGGATGAGCAAGAGGGCATGTACCGCGACAACGAAACCACAACGCTCATGCCCCAGGACGGAAACGCCTGGGCCGTCGTCGCAAACCTCACAGTGAACAGCACACAGACGAGTATGATCTCACAGAATTTGGTCTCGCGATGGACGCCGTACGGTGCCCCTGCCCCCGAAGCCGCAGACGCCATCTCACCCTTCATCTCCGGCTTTGAACTGCAATCCCACTTCCTCGCACAGAACACAACCGCTGCGTTGGAGTTGATGCGTCTACAATGGGGCTTCATGCTCGACGACCCTCGCATGACAAACTCAACCTTCATCGAAGGATACAGCACGACTGGCGAACTCCACTACGCGCCCTACAACAACGACGCACGCATCAGCCACGCCCACGGATGGGCAACAGGACCGACATCCAGCCTCACACAATATGTCGCCGGTGTACAGTTACTCACTGCTGGCGGAGCAACATGGCGTATTGCGCCTTCGCTCGGCGATCTCAAGTTTGCGGATGCGGGCTTCAGGACGAGTTTGGGTTTCTTTGGCGCCAGGACACAGGTGTTGGATGGTAGCATAATGTTGGACTTTGAGGCGCCGGAGGGGACGGTGGGAGAGGTTAGGATGCCGGTGATGGAATGTGCGGGACGGGTGGTCATGAGTGGAATGGAGGGGCTGAGTGGGGATGTTGTTGTTGAGGTTATGGCTGGGCAGGGGGATGTGGATGTCAAGGATGTCAAGGGTGGGAGGTGGACGGCTACGTTTAGGTGTACTTGAAGAGTAGACGTATGAAGATCATTGAATGTCTAACAATTCTGGTATTGAGATGAGCAATTGAACCGCAATAGTATGTTTGTGGTCGGTGCCACGATACACGGCTCACATACCGACTACCCTGGTGTAATCCCATCTTGATACGGACCAGACTCCGTGAACACGAGATGTTTGCTTCTCCTCGGCTTCAGCAAAGCGCAAAGCAGGCTGCGAAAGGCCCGTACACGAACTGCGTTAGAGCGCAAGAACTATTACACGCGCCTATATGAGGTCGACATAGCAACGGGTATGGAAAAGAAATCTCAGCTGCCGGGAAGCGGCAGAGCTGAGGTTGGTGCAGGATACTTTTCTGGGTCCGGACTATCAGCGGATAAGAAACAGGGAACCATCGGCCCACTACGACCAGAGTCCTTCACCAACAGAAATCCTTCACGATGGCATGTTGGACACAGGCTCAGTACAGTAAGCCGGATGGTTATTCGTCGAGCATTGGACATGTTTCTCCAGGGTAGTGGTGTCCTGTCAAAGTCTAAAAGCGACCAGGCGGCCAGGCAACGAGGCAACAAGTGTCGAGTAGTCCAGGTCAGCATATATCACGGGTATAGCCAGCTGGGAATGTAGCAAATACCGGTCATGTTGACATGCAGATTACCAGCACCATCCATGCTGTACCGCCTACCCCGCGCGTCTGAGTGGCGGAGGGCGATCGTGTGAAACGAGGCGTTCTCGTGATGGCGCGCTACATGGACGCGCCCGGGACGTCGCTGTGCCAACGGCATCCTTGGCGCATTGTTCCAAAATAGTGTCGCGCAAACCACTATGACCACCCGCTTGACTCTGATCTGCGGCCCATCCCCAGCATTGCATCACTTGCGTCTTGTGTATACACATCTCGAGCATTGCTTCCTTGCACCGGCCTGGCATACAAGAAGAGTGCTGTTTGAGCCATTCCCTCGTTTTACGCCTTCTCCTCCTGCTCGGCCTTTTGCGACCGCCTGCATCTCGCTTCCCCACTACTATCCACTACCACGTCAGAGTCAGGACTCATCACACCGCATCCCATTGCTCGCGCAAAGTTTCTCCGCCCCACTGGACGCGGTCACATTGCATGCGCGTTTGAGCCTCGCATCTCGCTGGCGGGTCTGCAGCCACCATGGACACGAGCTACCTCGCCCAGCAGGTCACCACCATCATCGGCCAGCTGCACGGCTTGTTCGACGACATTGGCGTCCCCAGCCATGAGCGCGAATCACGCGAAGCAGAGGTGAGGATAGACGAAGTGTATGCGCGCGCGATTGCTGACTTGTGTAGTTGTTCTCTGCTCTGTCCGAGACGCTCCACAATCAATTGCGACAGGTCACCAGCGAGAAGCATGAGATGACAGAAGAGGCGCATCGCCTGCTCAAGACTATCCGCCAGATGGAGGCTTCGCTCGATGACAACAAGCCCAACCCCAACTATGACGACCAGGACGACCGGGCCATCACCTTCCCCTTGACGCGCTGCCTCCAGGGCCTGAAGGAGCGATACAACTCGGTCAGCAAGATGCACAAGGAGCGCTTCGAGCAGGTCAGGAAACTGGCCGAAGCCCTGGAATCGTATGCGTCGCATCTCGAATCGTCCTTCGTGCAGGTCAAACTCCCGCCCACCGCGCCCAACGCGAAAGTCTCGCCCTCTTTCGACATCTCGCCCTCCTACGTCACCAAGCTCGACAACGAATTCACACGCGTATACGAGGAATACACAAAGCGCCTAAACACAGTCCAGGTCATCTGCCAGGAGATCATCCAGCTTTGGGCAGAACTCGGCACACCACAAGCGCAAACGGACAGCGCGATCGTGCAATGTCATCGCGACGCGCCTGAACAACTCGGCCTGCACAAGGACGATCTCGCGCAATTGAACGCGAAGAAGGAGCGACTTGTCGAGGAGAAGCGCGGTCGCGAACGACGGTTAGGGCAGCTGCGCACAACCATCGAGGAACTCTGGGACCGCCTGGGCATTGAGGAGCGCGAGCGCAAGCAATTCCTCACCAGCAACCGTGGATGTGGCCTGCGCACCATCAACGAGTACGAGGATGAGCTGGCCAGGTTGAACGAGCTCAAGCGCCAGAACCTACACTTGTTCGTCGAGGAGGCGCGCGTTCAACTCCAGGAACTATGGGACGCTCTTTACTTCTCCGAAGAAGAGATGCTCGACTTCACGCCCGCCTTCTCCGACGTCTGCAGTGACGCTCTACTCGCCGCCCACGAATCCGAAATCGCACGTCTCGAAGCGCTCAAGGAGCAACGGCTACCTATACTTCAAAAGATCGATCGCCACCGCGAGCTGATTCAAGAACGCGATGAGCTTGCACAATCGAGCCAGGACGCGACCCGCCTGATGGCGCGCGGCAACAAGGGCGAGAGGCGCGACCCAGGCAAGCTCCTGCGCGAGGAGAAGATGCGGAAGCGCATTGCAAAGGAGCTGCCCAAGATTGAAACAGTAAGTCACCTTAGTCAAGGAGCAGGAACTGAGCTAACACGTCATAGGATCTCAGAGTCACCCTCGAGAGCTGGGAAGACGAATACGGACGTCCTTTCCTTGTCCACGGCAACCGATACCTCGACGAACTATACGCAGCCGCGCAAAAGGCAGCCCCACCACCTCGCGCAAAGACACCCTCGAACAGCGGTATGCCTACCAAGCCAGCCACGGTTGGCAGAGCCTCAGCAGCGCCTAGCCGCGCCGGAACAGTTCGTGGTGCGCCACCCAGCCGATCAAAGACCCCCGTATCGAACTTTGGCCAGAGTGTATCCGCAGCAAGCATGTCTCGTAGCACTTTCGCGCAATCAGTGGGCCCCAACTTTGGTGCTTCGGTGTCGGCATCGGCCCAAAAGAGTCCTTCCAAGATTCCTTCTCGTGCGGGACTGAATGGTACAACAAACGGCAGGAGCTCACCTGAGAAGCGACCACAACTCTCACGAGAAGATTCGGCCACGATGCGCAAGATGGCGCCACCTATGGCTCCTCCCCCACGTATGAAGGATCTGTTCGTCCCTCCAGAGCCAGCACCAATGGAGACACCGATGAACCGCTTCGAGTTCAACCGTGGAGACCGCAGTGAGAGCATCGTGCGCAACGTACAACCAGAGGACCCCTACGACGACCGATCCTTCATGGGACGTACCATGCGAGGAGGCTACACACCCACATACCCACCGCCATCACTATCATCCGCTAGCAGTCGACAAATATCACAAACCTCGTCCACAGGCACAGCCGCTACAGGCATGACCATGCAATCCGGCTCCGAGAACTGGGAAACGTTTAGTGAACAGTCCGACGAGGTACCGGAGGAAGAAGTCGACTTCCACGCCTACCGGCGGCAGATGAAGCGCTACACACCCGAGGGCGGCCATGTCGCCAGCCCGGGTAGAATCCAAGGCAAGAAGGTCCGCGGTATACGGAGCGTCGACACGGGCGAACTGTTAACCGAGCAGGACGGTCGCATGGTACGCGTGATCGAAGGCTCAGAAGCGGGCTGGACGACTGACGGCGACGGGTACTGAGCAAAGTACCCTATCCACTTGGACACTTTCTTCTCATGTCGACACGACTGCATGGCTTTCATGCTCCACGACGCTTATACCGCCACGGCCGTTCATCACTTTCCGGCCCACCGAGCCCTGTTAATTGCTCTTCCTTAATTCGTGTGTGCATACTTTGCGGCTCGGCGTTACTGGACCCTGAAAATTTTCTCTTCTTTTCGACTCATCCTCGCTGCCGCAACGGCACGCATAAGCGGGCTGGGATACTCGCCACGTACTCTGCGTTGGACAGTGTAGTGCGCTGCATGTCACTTCCCGCAATGCGACCGGTGCGGCGCCTGTTTTGGGTAACGCAGCATGTACCTGCCCAGGTGGCTCTTTTATTTCTTCACATCACTTGCTTCTTTTTCAGCGGTAGGGTGGTGGATCATCCGGCGTTGGCGACCTCGGAAGCGTATATCTGGATAGCGCGCCATGCGCTACCTTGCTTGTGTCTCGTTTGCGCGTTTTGCATGTTCAAATTTCCCTTGTGCGAGGATGAAGCGAGAGAAGTGTGCATAAGGCCTCCTTTCTGTGAGTGGAAGGCAGATCTGTGTGTTGGCGAGGAGACGTGTACTATTACGATTGAACAGAATTCAGAACATTGCAAAAACTTGTGCGACCATGCCGTGACTGATGCACTAGGATGCCGAAATTTGTGATGCACTGGACGCCTACAAAGAAGTAATATATCATTAACTTTACTACATACTATACCTAGACGAATACACAATAATGTATACAATGTCTAGATTAGCGAAAGGCGGTCACGTAGGCGGCAAGCAACACCAACTCGTGCCTTCCTGTGCGAGTAAAGATGATTGACATGAAACAATGCAAGCGCACAATGGCGGGTCGGTGCCGAGGGCCAAGACGATGACGGGAAGCTTGGGTAGACGATAGAAGGTCACTCCGTTCCTTCCTCTTTTGCACAAGAGATCCCTTAAGCTCGAAGCAGCAGGTGCGGTTACCGTGACAGAGCTCTATTATGCAAGGCCGTTGGGGAGCCTCAATCGCGAACTAAATTCTCACAAGGACACGTGCCTTTCGTTCTACCTACCGTGAACTACTCTCCAGGGCCACGACATGACGACAATGACGAAGTTGGTGTCCAGAAAAGGGCCGGTATGGGAAGTGTGTAGAGTGGCACAGTGGGAATAGACTTTCTCTCCACTCCACATCCACCATGCTTTTCTTGCTCGACAGTGGAGGCAGAGGGCAGCGGGCATGCACCCCGCAGGAATCCGCGGCCTAGCGTGCGAGACGGCGCCGGGCTGCACGACACATGGTGGATGTGGTTAGATGGAGTTAGAGGCAGGTAGCGAGATATTGGCACAGAGATAAGGATAGCACATCTGACAGGCCCGGAGCGATTCCACACAAGCCAACCGTGACCGGAAGGCAGGCAGGCATGCGACCGTCTTGCCGCGGGGA